GGAGGAGGAGGAGGAGCTGGTGGGGGAGTGGGAGGTAGAGGAGGATGGAAAGCAGGAGCAGGGGCTGGGAAAACTGGACGCGTAATTAGGCTGGGAGCGTAGGTTGGGGGGGGGGGGGCGTAGGTTGGGGGGCGTAGGTTGGGAATGTAGGCTTGGGTGAGGGGGGGGGGTAGCTTGAAAGCTCGTCGGGGGTTTAGGTTGGGAGCGTCTTTGGAGGCTCTTTGGGCCTGCTCGGAGGCTCCTGAAGGCGTCTGGGAGAGTTCCACCTTGAATTTCGGTGTGCCCCACTCACGTTTCGTGGCCCCATGGAGAGCTGCACCGCATGTGGTTCCACCTGCATTTCGGCGCACCCATCACAGGTTTCGTGGCTCCATGGGGGGCTGCACCGCTGCACCGAAGGCCCCAGTGGCAGCGCCCGCATGCGGGCGCTGCCACTAGAGCCTACGGTGGACCTCCTCATGGGGCCACGAAACGTGGGAGGGGTGCGCCGACATTGGGGATGGAACCGCATGCCAGCGCTGCCCCTAAGGCACGCTTCGTGGTCCCACAGAGGGCTCCATCGACAGCTCCAGTGGTAGCGCCCACGTGGCGTACCCGTGCCCATTTTGGCACACCCGTCACACGCGTCGTGGCCCCACAGAGAGGTTCATCGAGGACGATACCCACAACTACGTTATTCACAACTGCGCATGGTTGGGCCCTTCGCCAGGATAATTTGCTACTTCTGATCTCAATGTGGCCCAGAGCATTGGGCCCGCTGGTCTGTAAGTGGTGGCTACTGCTTTTGGTATGGCCCTTGTAGTGGATGCCGCCCTCCCCCGCAGGGTCGAATTCGATGGGATCGATCCGATACGATACCGATTCCGTCAGGCCTGGTCCGATTAGATGCGCATTCTCGAGCGATCCGATGCGGCCTGCTACTTCGGGTGTTGCGTAACGGGGCGGTAAACTGGAATAGGGCGGTGAAGGCCGGTGCACCTTTTGTGCCCGAAAGGGGTTCTGAAGGGGCCCCCTGGAGCCCAACAGTGGCACGACAGGTGCATGTTTCTTCACGCCCCCATGTCTCGCTCTCCCCCCTGTGAAGCTACGCTCAGATACTTGCGTTAGGTCGGGCGTGTCCCCCTACAGGCGGACTTTGGGCAAACAATGAAAAAATCCCCAACTAGACCCAACAAATATTCAAAACATTGTCAAACAAATCGTCTCCTGACAATTTTTTTGACTATTTTTGAATACATTCCCTGTAGAGGGACAGCCCGACTTAATAATACTTGCGCGGCGCTGTTGTGCCTCCCGCTGCGGCCCCTCCGACTCGATGTTCTAGCGCCGCGCCGCTGCGAGCCTTATCCGACGCTCAGGTCGATCCGACCGGATCTTGTCCCGACTCGATGCGCACCGACATTGCCTCGCCCCCGCAGGACCCCGTGGAGTGCCTGTTCTCCTTCATCCTCAGAGGAGAAGCAGGGCCCACCCCGCCGCTGGCAGTCCTGGCCAGGCGGAGTCTACGTACATCTCCATGGCGGCTCCCCGGCCAGTGGCCCTTCCTGGACATAGGAGCTGTGCATACGTCGGGGGCGGCCAAGAGGGGGATGAGGACTAGGGGGAGGGGGGGGACATCATGGCGGGGGCCATGTCATTTCCCCAGATTTCATGGCGTCTCTTCTTGTTTCATTACATCCCTTGCCTTCCCCCCTTGGGCCGCGCACATGCCGCCGGCCATGATTTGCGCTCCCCCCCTCCCTTGGACCCCCCCCTCGGAGCCGCCCCTGACAGGAGCCGTGTATACGCCCTCCTGGCCGGGCCAGGAGGGCGTGGCGCATGCACCGCTGCTGGGTTCAGGTTTGGTTCTGGCCGAGGAGCAGCGGATATATGTATAGGAGCAGCGGATATATGTATAGATTTCGACGCTCTGGACACCCTATCGCCTCCGTACCAGATGGGGGGGGGCGGGGGCGAACCCCCCGGGACGCGCGGGTTCTCGGTGGTGGTGGTCCCTGTACCCAGACATCCGCCGATGTGTGCATATATGTACATATGTCTATGTATATATATATATATATATATGTATGTGCAGGTATATATATATATATAGATACAGATGCACATATTATTGTGCAAGGTAGCCAAAGGCGACTCAAGTACGAATCCATATAAATATATATATGTGTGTGTATATATACACATAAAATTGCAATCCGCAGCCCCAGAGGTCCCGACCCCTTCCCCAGGGACAGTCTTTCGCTCTGGATCCACTTCTGATGGTCATGGGGCCAGACATCGGGCCCCGGGGGAACCGAAGGCGAGGAAGAGGAAGACCGGATGGACCAGCCTCAGACCGTCTGAACTTAGGGGTCACACATCTATCCCTGGACGTCTCCTGCGATGTGTTCTGCCCACAATGTCGAGGCAGATCCAGCCCTGGCCACGAGGGCGCCCAGGGGCGACAAAAAGACCTCCCGAGAGCGAGCTTCGAGCCTCGAAGCTCGAACCTCCACCACACCCTCGGCGGATCTGGGTTTCTCCTCTGACCAATCGGGGGTGGACAGAACCCCCAACAGTGACACGTCGATTAGTGAATGGTCCGTTTTTGGTTCTCGAGAGGGCGTCGCGGCCGTTATTTTCCAGGCTTGCGCCCGCCAGGTTTGGGCCTCAGGTCGTTTTCACTAAACCACGTTTTACTAAAGGGGGGTCTGTCCATCCCCGAACCATCTGCTCGCAGAACAACAACGTGGCCCGCATCTGCCTGCTGACAGATCGATGACCCCCAGGACGCGCAGTAACTTAGCCCACCGCGTGTGCTGCCCCGCTCGGCTCCGCCCATGGCACGCCGCCTGCTTTTCGGCCCTCGCCGCACGGCACCGAAGGGCACTTCGGCGGACAGTGCGCACGTGGGCGTCAGCACTCGAGGAGGAGGAGGAGGGGGAGGAGGAGGATGGGGAGGAGGAGGAGGAGGAGATGAGGAGAGAGGAGGAGGAGGAGGAGGTGCTGAGGATCATCGAGCAGACCGCCTGCGCGCCCGCCTCGGGCGGCCCATCTGCACGCTGCCCCCCGGCCTGTCGGCGCTGGACGACGGCGGCGGCCAGCCCGAGGAGCGGGCACTGCCAGGGGGGGTCGCTGCCACATGCCGGCGGCGACGTTCGCACCCTGCCGCCGCCTATGATCCTCCTCCTCCTCCTCCTCCTCCTTCCTCCTCCTCCTCCTCCTCCTCCTCCTCCTCCTCCTCCTCCTCCTCCTCCTCCTCCCCCTCCTCCCCCTTCCCTCCTCGCGCACGTGGCGAAGTCTGAACCCTACTCCAGATTTCGTAATCAAGGGATGGGGGGTCTCATGTCGGGGGGGGCCTCTTCCAGGCCATCTTGGAGGGCCTGGGGGGTCTGGGGACGACGTTTTGGAGGGTTCTCCCACGGGGGAGGTCTGAAATGGCTTGTCTTGGAGGGTCCAGACCCCCTCCCTTTTATTACGAAATCTGGAGTACCCTCACCTCCCATCGATTCAGGATCATCGTCGGGGGGTGGTCGGGGTAGGGCTGGGGTGTCGCCACCCAACAGGGTCCGTTCCGATCCGGTGGATCAGTGTTGTTGACAATGTTGGCCATCTCGATCGAATTTGATTATGATATCTTGCCGATCGGGTACGATCCGATACTCGCGCGGCGTCGTCGTGCGTCCTGGCGCAGCTGATTCGATTCGATATCGACTCTGTGCCGATGCAGCCCGATCCGACGCACGTTCCGATTCGATCCGGTTTCCCGATTCGGTGCTGTATGATCTCACCATCAGCAGGGTCACCAGCTATTGGATATCGAGGGTCGTGGAGTTGAACCTAGAAAAGCTGCATCAGCATCATTCCTCGGAGCACCGCATGGATTTTTTTGTGTCGGCGGGTGGGTGGCCCCACGGCGATCCGAGACATTCGTGCGGGCCTCAGGGTTTTACTGATCATATTATGCTGTTCCGTTAGCAAGGGGGTGTTCATGGACATCGTGTGAAGCAGACCGCTTGAGACATCCCCACAACATTGCTGCGAACGGGACCGTGAAAACACCCCTGGCGGCTCCCCTTGGGGGTGCTGAAACCAGCGCCCCGCCTCTGAGACATCCTCAGAATCTGCTCTGATAGCCAAGGATGTTGAGCCAGCGGTGCCACGTTCGGCTCGAATCAAATGCCCGTCCCAGCAAGTCAACCCAAGCCCCTCTTCGAAAAGCAGGGCCAATCGATGGAATCGTCTTGGCGTCCAGTCCGACGAGCCTGCAGCCGCCAGCCAGCCTGACGACGGAGACGACCAGGCCGCAGACCCTGTTCAGATCTGCATCCAGGCCGCAAACTTCTGGCGGAAGTCCAAGGGGGTTCGGATGGGGGGCGCTGCAAGCAGGCCCAGGAGGAGCTCCAGGCCGTGAAAGGCCACCGCCCTCGCCAACACGTCGCCAAATCAGCAGCCCCGAAGTTCCTTGACCAGCTCAGCGCCCAACGCGACCGACTCGCGGGGACGCAGGAGGACGCTCTCTGGTACCTCGAGCGCGTCGGGGAGACAACCGCCAAGTACGACCTGGTGGCCAAAGAGCGTGACTGAAACCAGAGCTCGGCTCAGCCGGTGTGGCCCCAGCCCGAGGTCGCAGCCAAGGCCGCCACCACCCAAGTAGCTTCTCATGAATCAGGAGGAAAAGAAACACACAGACACAATTAATCCTCGATTCCCAAGAAAATATGGGAAAGTATGGGAAGTGGGGGGGAAGACAGAAACCCAGAAAATATGGGAAAATACGGGGAATCGTTTTATTTGTGTGTATTTATTTGTGTGTCCTGGGGCCCCTTCAATGAAGAGCAGCCAGCTGAAATACCCGAAGGTTTGTTTCATCAAACAGAAGTTGCCCGAGGGTGTCCATGTCAGCCCATCGTCACAGGCCGAGGTCAATGCCAGGCGCAGACTGCCGCGGGCGCCGCCCGCAGCACCGCCGGAGGCAGTTCTATAGTACCTCCGCCGCCGCCCCAGCCAGCTGCAGCGGCAGCAGTTGGATGCCAGCTCACGCCGACAGGCCCTAAAACAGGGCTAGGATCGGGATAAATCGCTCCAGAGCGTTCCCGAGCGCTCTCAGAGCGTTCCGGAACACTCTAGAGCGGCCGCGGCGCCCAATACGATCCGATTTTGTCCCGATCTTCGCGTCGTTTGAGGCCTCGAGGTGGAGGACGACTTCGACATGGCTGAGGACCCGAAAAAGGGAGCTCGCCAAAGATGGCACGCCCATCGCCCAGGTCTTCGACCACGCCGCCGGCATCGTCACCGCAGGAAGTGTAGGACCAGCAGCTGCTGGTCTGCGATCTGCCTCCGCTCACGCGCTGCAGCGCGCGCAGGCTCGCGCGCCCCCCCCGCCTCCTTGGCTGCTGCGGCGGCTGCAGAGTCAGGGCCAGGAGGGTAACGCCCCACGCCCGTCTCGCCACCTAGAGCGCTAGCCATTGGGGAGCGCCGGCATTCTCGTCAAGCCCAGCTTGGGCGCCATGCGGTTCCACGGTCTATGCTGCCGCGAAGCCGATCTCTTCGAAACTTCAGTTCGGGGTGCCGCGCACTTGTGCTCCAAACGCAGATCCAAGCATATTTGTATACATGTATGTATGTGTATATCTATACACTTCCATATCAACAAAATATTTTGGAAGGTATGGGACGCGATAGCGGGGCGTTTGCTGTGGGGACCGCCGTCCTAGTTCGAAAGACTTGCGCCGCGGCGTCTTTCGACATGTCGTGCCAGCTAATGCGCCAGAAGGAAGCGTTACCGCTGTTCCCTCGGTGTTGCCAGGACATGCCCCCCGCTCTGTTGCGCTCAGTCTATCTCGCCGACCAGGTCGGCCCGGCCAGTTCAACCTCAACTACCTCGCTGGCCTCGCGCAGATGGGACAGGCGAACCGCATGTTCTTCGTCGCGGCTGGAGGTGTCAACCTCTTCCCAGCTGAGCGCCAAGCTGTTGAAGAGCTCCGGCTGTGCGAGGGCTGACGCGGCAGCGCCTGCCCCCGATGTCCCCGCCCTCTGCGTTGCCAAAGCCAAGTCGACGATGCACTGCTCTCCCGTCTCTCTGCGTTTCCAGGACTGCGCCAGCGAACCCGAGGCCCCCCCGGGGGTGCCGCAGGCCCGCGCGCTTCGACCTCGTAGACTCGACCCACCTGGCGCCTGCCCTGACCGACCCCCAGACGATCCCCGCCAAGTCGCCCGCGGGCTCGCGGTCCGCGCAGCGGCCTGGAACAGCGCTGCCGCCGCGGCCGCCCTGGGCCAGATAGGAGCTCGCCTGGCCCAGGTCGCCAGTCTCGACGCCCTTGGCGAAGCCATTGAACACACCGACCCGGTCCTCTCCACCGACTTCGGCGCCTTCCTGAGCAAGGTGAACCCGAACGGTGGAGGGCCCACTGGGCGAGAGAGGACAGGGGCCCGAGCTCAAGTGGGCCCCAGCACGAGCGGCTGCAACTCGCCACCGCCGCAGCCGGCTTTCGCTTGCAGGCCCGATCAGGTGGCTGAAGAACAGGTCTGTCGTCATGCGCCACGCGCTAGAGACGCGGCAGGGCCCTGGCCTTGACCTCCAGAACATCCCAGACGACCTCTCAGAGAGGCCAGTCCCATTCGATGAACTTGGCGGCGCAGGAGGTTTGCATCGACGCCCACGCGAGCCTCATCGGCCTGCGCTGGGGCAACCCGGCCACGGAAGAACCGGATGACGGACGAGCAGCGTTGGAAGGATTGGGCCACAACGAGCACGCAGAAATGGAGTTGGATGGACGCATGTGGTCACGAGACGCGCCCGACTGGGAGCGGCAACGAGCTCGGAGAGCCAGCGGGGGAAGATGGTCTGAAAAGGTCTCTTGACCTCTTCCAAGCCGAGGCCGACCGAACAGTCGGCATTTTGGGTGCCGAGCCCCGCGCGCCAAGCGCGAGGGCCCGAAGGCCCCCAACAAGAAGCCTTCGGGGAAGTCGAGCCGATCGCGGGCGGTGGAATCTCCGATGCAGCTGGGAGATTCGGCCACGACGCGGCAGCCGCGTGCGACGGCTCCCGCCAGAGGCATTCTGCATGACTGACCCAGATGGAGCTCGAGCTCGTCGCCCGCGTTCTCAACTCTTGCGAGGGCGTCGGCGCTTCTCCCCGATGCAGTTGCTCGCTGCCGTGATTTCCTTCATCCCCAAGCAGAAGCAGCAGGGGGACATGGGACAACCGGAGGTACAGGGTGGTCAGACTCATGGCCTCTCATTGGGGCCCATGGGTGATGGCGAGGCAGTTCGTGGCATGAGAGTGCGACATTCAAAACAGGAGGCCATGACTAGCTCGCCAAGCGGGAAGAGGGATTCTTGACGCTGTGTGTTTGCAAGGCTTTCACGTGGAGTCTGCTCACCATGCAGGCGTGGCTGAATATGCTGCGTCCGCGTTTTGGGATTTCCGCGACTAGCGTGTTCATATCAACAGGGGTTGGCCGTGCCAAGTAGCAGTCTTCATACAGTGCAATCAGGATATCGCCGTCTTGATAGCGAACCAGCGCGCTGGCCTCGAGCTTTCGTCGAGCCACGGCGGGGCAGTTCCCATCGGGTGCCAACTGTTTGGAATGCCAGAGTTTCGCAGTGTACGTGACGCAGGTGCAGGGCGTGGTCCCGCTCGATGTCTGGGCCCAGGGCAATCCGAGCTTTGGCCCCCACTTGTCAATCGATGTCCTTATCCCCTAGGCCCAAGATGAGCAGCCCAAGGGCCCGGGGCCTCACTGCGGCCTCCTTCGTTATGGAAGAAGCTTCCGCGATATGCCGACAGTGCAAGATCACCGAACACGCGTCCGTCTCTCTGGCTTCGTCCATCGTCGTAGTGGAGCCTCTCCTTGAACAAGGGCTCCCACGAGGGCGCGAAGTTATTCGCGCTTCGCGGTCCTCGTTCCTTCTCCCCCTCCTCCTCGTCTTCCTCTTCTCCCTCTGGGGGGGCGGCGCGAGAGCGCGAAGTTATTCGCGCTTCGCGCTTCGCGGAGCGCGAAGCGCGAAGTTGGGAGCCCTAGTTGAAAGCCTCGGGGAAGTGCGCTAGGCGCCAAACAGTACGAAGCGACGCTGCAGCCAACTTCGGCATCGACCGCGCGGCGAGACGGGGAGTTTGTAGCCGACGGGGACGCGCGGTCTTGCGCCGGGGATTTCACGAGATGCGCCAGCGGAAGCGCGGATTGTCGGCGCTCAAGGAGGCATTCGCCGACATTTTCAAGGTCTACAAAAAATAGTTTGGCCGGGCCAATCACTGCGGTTCAGAAGCTGCATGTGTCGCCAATTCTGAGTTTATCCAGGGCCAAGAAGTCTACTTTGCCACTGGGGCCTGTACCCGGAGCCATCAGCATATGCCCCCTTGGAGAGCCGGCGTCGGAATCCGCGCGCTCGGGCCAGCCATCTACTGCAGTCTTCTCGTTTGAAGGATTACCACTGAGGCTGGCCTTTTCGGGTTCCTTCTCGCGGAACGCCAGCGGAGAGTCAAGAAAGTCCCCAGAGAAATGAGCCATCTTAGGGCCGCCATGCTTAGCCGTAGGCGCATCTCGCGGGCCCCGGGAACCCTTTTCCGGACTGAGGCCTTGGATGGCCAGGTGTTGCAATTAGCAGTTGCGCCGCCCGCCTTTCTCAGGCACCACCTCAAGGAGGCTCGGAATGCGAACCTCGAAGAGACAGCCGTGGCTGAGATGGGGCAGGCGAACGGGCAGCTGGATTTCACGGCCGCCCAGAAGGTGTTCCAGGGACCAACTTTGACCCAGCTCCAGAAGAGCTGCCTCGTTCCGTACCTCACCCAGCGCTTCTGGACTACACCAAGCAAGCAGCCGCATCATAGACTGTCAACACAGAGTGCATCTGTGGGAACCCGACAAGCGACATGACCCAGTGGTTCATTTGCCTCCACATCCACATCCACAGCCTCAAAAAGTGAGCGGCCTACCCCGCCCGACATTGAATTGTAATGGGCTCCGGCCAGTGCCGCCGATCCGGGGGGCTCTGGATTTTTGTGATTTTCGCGGCTCTGGTGGTCTCCTCCCTCCTCGATTCTTCTGGTCCTCTTTCTTCTCCTCTGGGGGGGTGTCTGGAGAGGTCCCACGGGGGGTCCGGGGAGGGTTCCGAGGGGAGGGTCTTGGGGGCGGTAGCGGCTAGATCTGAGAGGGGTTCCCTGGGACCCCCCTAAAACATCTTGGGGATTACGAAAACGCCAGATGAGGGACCCCCCCCCCGTTCCCTCCCCCCCTTCCGGGGGTGGTTCCAGATGCGCAAATCAGAAAGAAAACGCAGAATGGGACCGCCCTTCCCCCCCTCCCCCTCTTGCCCGGCAGAGTCACCCCGGCGACCCCCCCCCAATAAGCCCTCGCTTAGGCTCAGAGCTGAAGCTTTTGCTGGGGCTCCTTGTAATTCACGCGCCGCATCGGCGGATAGTCAGAAAAGGGACCCAGTAGCAACTCCCTTAGCCCAGGTTTTTTTTTTTTGTTTGTGTGTGTGTGTGTGTTTCTCTTTTTTATAGAACAAATCCCTTGGCCCACGGTTTTCAGTTCCAGCCCCTCCCTGTTCTAAGCTGGCCTGTTGCTGTCGGCTCCGGTCGGAAGTGGGGGCTCCCAGAGGGAGTCGCCACGGCGGGGGGGGGGGGTCTTGTAGACGCACGAGGCCCACGGCCGTGCCACTCGACAGGCTGGGCCGTCGACGTTCTGGACGGAAGGGGAGAGTGCACCGCGCTCACCTCTTCCCGGGCGGACGGGGCAGCTCCGGCCGCCCGCCTCGCCTGCCGCTCGGTGGCCACATGTGATTCCCACCCCGGCCCCCCCACGGTTTCGAAGGGGTGTGGGGTTTCACTCCGCTCGGAGCCCCCCCCCCCCTCTGGAACTTGCAGGGGGGTGGGGGCTTTTAGGGCTCGCGTGTGGCCACCTGGTCGTGGCCAGCAGCCGCGCCTCGACTTGGAGGAACAGGGCTTCGGGCGGGCCAGTCTCCAAGTCTGCCGTTGAGAGTCGCTCGTGGGCGCCGCCTCGCTCGCTCCCCTCCTGCCTGCCTGCCTGCCTCCTCCTCGTCCCCTCCCGGGGGCTTCTGGGGCCGTGGCCGGCGCTCCTCCCTGGGTCGACCAGCAGAGCAGAGGCGAGCACCAGTGGGTCGCATTCGCAGGCCTTTGGATCTGGGAGCTTGGCCGAACCCGAGCTCGAACAGAGGCCATACATCGGGAGCGGAAAGGAGGGGGGTGATGACTAGGGGGGGGGGATTTCATGGCGCGGGTCATGATTTTCCCTCAGATTTCGTGGCGCCTCTTCTTATTTCATTGCGTCCCTGGCCCCCCCGCTGGGCCGCGCACATGCCGCCGGTCATGATTTGCACCCCCCCCTCTTGGACCCCCCCCTCTTGGCCGCTCCCGAATACAGGCCCAGGGGGACGAACAGAGGCGTCGTGGTTGTTGGTGCCACGCTCTCGCATGTCGCCGGGGGCAGGAGCGGGCATGCCTGATCCGGTCTCGACTGGCTCGATGAGACAGCTGCGTCGCTGTCTGCTGACAGCGCGGTGCTTGTAGGGAGTTGTTGTGCCGCATCTCCCAAAGCCGGGTGCCCAGGCCACGCTCCCTCCCGGCAATCACAGACGAGTTGCTCTCAGTTGCTTCAAGATTTGCTGCCGTCCCAATGCGCAGCAAGCCATGTTTCGCCAGCCCCCATCACTCTCGACATGCTGAGTCGAAAGGCGCACAATGTGTGCAAGGGGCCGCCAACTCTCCAGCTGAAGGCAAGCAGACGAAAACATCGTTCAGTCAGATGCGCTGATCCAGCTCAGGACCCCTCCAGGGATGCGCCCCTTGCAGCGTATCGAGGGGGCGCCCGGCCCGGGCGACGCGAAGCCTGCCACAGGGCCAGCGAGGGCGGAACAGCTGCCGAGAGCCTCGGCCCCCGACGTCCGAGCCTCCTGGGCATAACTATCCTTGGAGCGTTCCGACACAACAACAAAGTCAGGAGGGGAAAACACAGACAGACACAACGAATCGTCGATTCCCCCCAAAAATGTGGGGAACTATGGGCAGTGGGGGGCAAGACAGAAAGCCAGAGAAGATGGGAACCTGTGCGGGAATCTTGTTCTTTGTGGGCATTTCTTTTTGTGTGTCCCAGGGTCCCTTCCGACTAGGACTTGCGACTGCGACGAAATGCTTCTCCTCGTGGTCTTCCTGGTTGAGTAGCGGTGGCTTGTCGTTGCCTGCGGTGCCTGTAGTGCGCCGTGCTTGCCCAGGGCCGCCGCCGACGACGACGACGACGAGGACGAGGACGAGGACGACGACCACGTGTGTCACCACCCACCAAACCACCCCAACCCAACCCGAAGGCCCAAATTTATCCTCGATTTCCAGTGGGGGGGGGGTCGGGAAACATCGAACAAACACGTGTGGAACCCCTACCCCCCCCCAACCCGAAACTCGGGTCTTCGGGTTGGGTTGGGGTGGTCTGGTTGGTTGTCAGTGTGTTGATCTCTTGGTGTGTGTGTGTGTCCCAGGGCCCCGTCGAGGACCCGGGCGCCTCCGCGCGAGACCTGGCGACGACGACGACGACGACGACGAGGACGAGGACGAGGACGAGGACGAGGACGAGGACGAGGACGAGGACGAGGACGAGGACGAGGACGTGTGTCCCAGGGCCCCTTCGAGGACCCGGGCGCCTCCGCGCGAGACCTGGCGCACGCGCGGGAGTTCCGCGCGCGCGCCCGGCTGCACGAGTTCCCCACCCTCGAGGCGCTCGCGGCCGCCCCCGAGGCGGTGCTCCGCGAGCTGGGCCTCGGGCGCCCCCCCCCCCCGCCCCCGCAGCTCCCCCCGACTCCTCCCTCCTCCTCCCTCCTCCTCCTCATCCTCCTCCTCCTCCTCCTCCTCCTCCTCCTCTCCTCCTCCCTCCTCCTCCTCCTCCTCCTCTTCCTCCTCCCTTCCTCCTCCTCCTCTTGCTCCTCCTCCTCCTCCACCTCTCCCCTCCTCCTCCTCTCCTCCTCCTCCTCCCTCCTCCTCCTCTTGCTCCTCCTCCTCCTCTCCTCCTCTCCTCTTCCCCTCCTCCACCTCTTCCTCACCTCCTCCCTCCTCCTCCTCCTCCTCTTGCTCCTGCTCCTCCTGCTCCTCCTCCCTCCTCCTCTTCCTCCTCCTCCTCCTCCTCCTCCTCCTCCTCCTCCTCCTCCTGGGAGGTCGGGTTCGGCAGCGGCGCTGGCACGCTGCAGGCTCGCGTCGTGTTCAGTCGGGCCTGTCCCTCTACAGGGGGAAATATTCAAAAACGGTCAAAACATAGCCTGGGGACGACTTTCTGACAATGTTTGAACAGTTGGGGGGTAGTTTTTGAGCCATTAAAATAAAAAAGTTTTTGCTCAAAATCCCCCGTAGGGGGACACGCCCGACTTCAGCGTCGTGTCGACCATCGGCGACCCCGCGGCCGGCGCTCAACGTTGACCGCGCCGCTGGCGACCCCGAGCCGGCGGATGCTGAACGATCTGACGAATCGGAGGCGGCCGATCGCTCGAGGTCGAAGGGTTCCCGCGGTGTCAGGAAGCAGCGCCGAAGTCGGCGCGACACGTTCAGGGTCCGGCTCGAAGGAGGAGCACTTTCGGGAGGAAAAGAAACACACAGACACAATTCATCCTCGATTACCCAGAAAATTGGAGAATATGGGCAGTGGGGGGAGACAGAAACCCAGAACATATGGGAGAATATGGGGGATATGTTTATTTGTGTGTATTTATTTGTGTGTCCCAGGGCCCCTTCACACTTGCTTCTCAAAAAGGGGCTCGGCCGTTCTTTTGGTTTGAATGCGTCCCGCCACCTTTTCGGCGGCGTGTCCCCCTGGTGTTTCTCCGGACGTTCCTCAGGCCAGGCCGGCTTCCTCCGCGCCGGCGTCGCCGATCACCGCCTGCGTCGCCGATGCATCGCCGATGTGGTGCTGCCCTTCGACCTCATCCTACGTCGGGCGGAGAGAAGTGTGCACATGCACCGATCTTGGCCAGGCCTATCCTTGGCCCAGGATCCGTGCACAGGCTTTCCTGGCCAAGGCAGGAGGGCGTATGTCAGGAAGGGAAAAAACACACAGACACAATTCATCCTCGATTCCCTAGAACATATGGGAAACTATGGGAAGTGGGGGGGAAGACAAACACCCAGAAAACATATGGGAAACTATGGGGAATCTCTTCATCTGTGTGCATTTATGTGCGTGTGTCTCCCAGGGCCCCTTCACATTTGCTATTCGAAAAGGCAGGAGGGCGTGTGCACCGCCAGCATCGGTGCACGTGCCTGCTTCTCTTCCTAGCTGCTCGGACCCCATCTGGGAGGCCCCCGAGGTGCACCCGGCGGGCGACGGCCGCCCCGCCGCGGCCCAGTCCAGGCCCAATGGGGCGGTGTCGGTGCTCGACGCTCCGTTTGCGCAGGCCCCCCCCCGGGGCCCACGCCAAAGGGCAGGCGCCGGGCCAGCTGCCCTGGCCAGGGATTGGGCCCTGCGACCCACCCGCTATCATCAGAGCCCCGAGTCGTCAGGGGTAACTCGGGTCAGGGATAACTCGGGTTCCTTTTTCGGGAACCCGAACCCGAGTTACCCCGGACCCGAGTTACCCCGGATAACTCGGGCGTCCAGAGCCCCAGAATCATCAGGGGTAACTCGGGTCAGGGGTAACTCGGGTTCCTTTTTCGGGAATCCAAACCCGAGTTACCCCGGACCCGAGTTACCCCGGATAACTCGGGCGCCCAATATCACTTCGGGTCTGGACCCTGCCAGACCCGAAGTGATGGCGGGTGGGTCGGCACGCCGGTTTTTCCCAGTGCTCAGGAAGGTTACTTCGGCCACGGCGCAAGGCTGGAGGACCCGCCCCCCCCCCCCCAAAAAAAAAAAAAGTAATGGGGGGATCATAAATGGGGGGGTGGCGAGGGTGGTCCGAAAAGGTACCCAAACGGTGCCCAAACGAGCCCCCTGGGGGCTCTGGAGGGGCCCGAAAGGGGCACGACAGGGGACCTTTTCTGACCCCCCACCGTTTGTGACCCCCCCATGAAGCCACGCCCAAAGGGACGTGCAGCAGGACGGCGAAGACGAGGGTGTCGATGACTGGGACTATCCGGAGGAGGAAAAACACACAGACACCATTCATCGTCGATTCCCTAGAAAATATGGGAAGATATGGGCAGTGGGGGGGAAGGCAGAAACCCAGCAAAGATGGGAAGCTATGCGGGAATCCTTTTATTTGTATGTATTTGTTCGCGTGTCCCAGGGCCCCTTCAGACTAGGACTTGCGACTGCGACGAAATGCTTCTCCTCGTGGTCTTCCTGGTTGAGTAGTGGTTGCTTGTCGTTGCCTGCGGTGCCTGTATTGCGTCGTGCTTGCCCAGGGCCGCCGACGACGACGACGACGAGGACGAGGACGAGGACGACAACCACAACTGCGACATCAGCGGCAGCGGCGGCGCAGACGCCGACGACGACAAGAGTCAACCATCAGCGGCTGTGTGGATTTTTGCTATGGGAGCGTTTTGATGGTTTCTTGGGGCCTTATTGGTGCCCTTTTGGATGTCTTTTGAGCCCCCTTTGGGGATCTCTTGGGGCCCTCTTTGGGCTCACTTGGGGTTCTCTTGGGGCCCTCTTGGAGTCCGTGGGGTGCCCTCCTGGGGCCATGTTAGAAGAGCCATCGGTCAAAGGAGAGGGGAAACTCAAGCACGCCCCATCATTATCCTCCTTAAGCCACTTGATGAACTTGTAACCCACCTATAATCTAGATTTGGTCAGACATAACCCACCTTGGAATCCATTGAGATCCCCATATCGCCTAACTAACCTCTGCGCCGATCCCAGTACATGTTCGCGTCGGGCGCGACTCTCCAACAGTAGCTCAAAATTTTGAATTTTGGTAATGTGCCTCTGCGTCCAAGGTGGGCTATCTCTGGCATTCTCTAGCTTCTAAAGTGGGAGGAGGAGGAGGAGGAGGAGCAGGAGGAGGAGGAGGAGGAGGAGGAGGAGGGAGGAGGAGGAGGCCGGTGATGCACTGGTGACTCGGTGCGATCGGTCCTCCCGCGAAGACCTCCCCGGGAGTTGCCTCCCGAGGTACCGCGCGTCCTACGTGCGCGGGGCGGCCCGGGCGCTCCTCGGGTGCGGCGGCCGGGGCTTCCTGGAGGGCCTGCGGCACCCCCTGTGCGGGCGCGCCGAGGCCGCGGCGGCGGCGGCGCGGGCCGACGAAGCACCGACGACGGACCGACGACGACGGCGGCGGCGTCGGCGCTGACGGCGGCAGCGGCGGCTGCAACAACGAGGGCGGCGGCGACGACGACGGCGGCGACGGCGACGGCGACGGACCGATGACGAAGACGACGACGACGACGGCGACGGCGACGGCGGCTTCGACGGCGACGACGGCGGCGCCCGTGAGGAGGACGGCGACGACCACGACGACGATCTCGACGACGAAGACAGCGACGAGGACCGACCGATGGAAACGGCGATGAGGACGGCGGCGGCGGCGGGGATGATCCAGATCTGCGACGTCGACGACGACGACGACGGCGGCGGCGGCGGCGACTGCGACGGTGACGGCGACGGCGACAGCGACGGCGACGACGACGACGACGGCGACGACGACGGCGACGACGACGACGACGACGGCGGCGGCGGCGGTGGCGGCGGCGACCGCGACCGCGACGGTAATGACGACGGCTGCGGCGGCGACGACCCAGATCTCCGACGACATGTTGTTGCTAGTTCAGGGTGTTTTGCCCCGATGTCGGCCCCTCGGGCCCGCTACTGGGCTTGGTCAGACTGGCCTCGAGTCGAGATGCATCGGTCCAGAGTGTCCCGTCACGCTCTCAGAGCGTTCCGGGAAGCTCTGTAATGGCCTTGGCGCCCGATACATCTCCCAATCATGCTGATTCCCATATTTCCTATTTATATCGGCCCGATTTTTTCAGTAAAAAAAAAAACGATTCTGCCTTAGTCTTACTCGGGGGTCATCAGACATTGATTCAGGGCGATGGACAGCTTCCAGGGACGTGTTGGGGACTTCCGGGGCCGCACACGGAACCCCACCGGCCAATCCAGAAACGGTTTCCAGGCGTTGTGCCCTGATCGTGCACGTGGTCGGAACCGGCGACACATACATTACCAGTGGCGGGCTGTTATTCAATCCCAGAACTTTTGAGGTTCGGGGACAACGTCACGTCGGAGTGATGTGGTGTATACTATTTTCCCCGTTCCCCCGGGGAAGCAACGAAACATCTATACACCAGGATCCCGTATACACCAGGCTCCGCTTTCTTGTGCGAATTGCAGTGCGGGGCCGTACAAACGTCGGTGCATAGAGTCCGCTCCCTTCTGTGGGGGAGCAAGCAGTGGAAGAAAGGCTGGGAAGCCGTCGTGCCCCAAGAGGGGGGGGTGGAGGAGGATCCGGAAGAGCAGGCGGAAGAGGCGGAGCAGGACGGGGCCGCACATTGAAGAAACGTTGCGTCGTCGGGTGTCGGGGGGTCGGGGGCTTCCCTGACGGCCTGCGGCACCCTACGGAGGCGCCGAGGCGGCACCGGCGTCACAGCTGGAGTCACGACGGGATGCTCTTGTTGGCAGGTATCGGCCTCTGGGGGGCTCAAGCCAGGCCCCAGGGCCGGGCGCCGGAGGCGTGAAGCTCATGGTGTGAGAGCCTCTTTTGCGCTTCGCGTATCCCCACCAGCCCATCCCGAGACAGTCGACAGGCGAGCTGCCCCGATCAGGAATGCGGAGCAGCGTGCGGCCGTCTCGGGCCACCTTCGGGGCGATGGCGGCGACGACGACTGCGGCGAGCCGACGGTCCCCGGAGGTTCCTGCAGGTCCCAGGCGGCCTCGGAGGCCTCGTGGGCGGCTCCGCGGGCCAGGCCGCCTGGACCGCGACCCCGTGGGCACGAGGCGTGTTCTACAGTCAAAATCCTTAATACGGACGCACGATTTTGCTCAGGGTAATTACCCTTGCGTCCTTGCTCTTCCTTGCTCTTGCGCCCTGGAGGTTTTCGCCGTCCGCCGCCCCAGAAATCCCAACTTCGGCTCCCAAGGGTCTTGCGTCCTTGCCGTGCGTCCCTATTAGGTTTGTTGGCTGTATCTCGCGCAGAACGAGGCCGTGCGACCGCGTGTGCGCGGGATCACGCTCCGGAGTCCGAATCGCTCGTGGGAGCCCTTGGGTGGCAAAGCCTCGGGCTGCGCACAGGCAGCTCGGGTGTTGCTAGAAGTACCCCTGGCCCAGGGTACCCCCAGGATTCTTGGGGTGGCCCGGGCGGCCTCCAGGGCACCCCTCACGAGGCCCAGAGGACCCCATGGGGCACCAAGATTGAGCGAAAAGCTAGGGACACCTTGTGCCAGGGGCACTTCTAGCAACACCCGAACAGCCTCCCCCGGCAGGCTCGGCTGGCCTCCGCGGGTCCCCCGAGGGGCCCCAGCTGGCCTCAGCAGGCCCCCGGAGCAGTCCAGGGCGGGTCCCGTCACCGCAGCCCTGGGGCTCGGCGCGCCCCTCCTCGGGGGGCCTCCCGAGGCCAGCTGGGGCACTCTGGGACGCAGTCTGTGCCCAACCCGACGCCTCGGGGGCAACGATAGGGGGGGATGGGCAAAGGCGGGGACGCATCGACTCCCAACCGTCCATTGATCGCCGACAGGGGCACGACAGCCACAGTCTGCCCAAGAAGGTGCGGATTCACTATCGGAGGCCTATCGCCAGTCTATCAACGATGTTTCCCCCCTATGCTGGTCCCCCCCTATCGTTGCCCCTCAAAGCCTCACCAGCCCCAGGCGCCCATGGCCCCAGGGAGCCCTTCCTTGGCCCCAGCGCGAGCGGCACCCGCCACGGCGGCGGCGACATGGCGACGACAGCGGCCGAGCGGCGCACAGGCCCAGAGGAGGCTCTGCGAGCTGCCGGGCGTGGGGCCCAAGGTTGATGGGGCCATTTTCCACCACTACCCATGGAGGCGGAGGAGGAGGAGGAGGAGGAGGAGGAGGAGGAGGAAGAAGACGAGGATGAGGAGGAGGAACAGGAGGAGGAGGAGGAGGAAGGGTGAGGAACAGAGGAGGGAGGAGGAGGAGGAGGATGAGGAGGAGGAGGAGAATGAGGAGGAGGAGGACCAGGAGGAGAGGAAGGAGGAGGAGGAGGAGGAGAGGAGGAAGAGGAGGAGGAGGAGGAGGAGGAGGAGGAGGAGGAGGAGGAGGAGGAGGGTAGGAGGAGGAGGAGGAGGGGGAGGAGGAGGAGGAGGAAAGGAGGAGGAAGAAGACGGAGGGGGAGGAGGAGGAGGAGGAGGAGGAGGAGGAGGAGGAGGAGTAATCATAATCATAACAAGGGTAATCAACAAAATAATAACAATACTACTAATACTAATACTAGTAATAATAAGAGGAGGAGGACGAGGAAGCGGAGGAGGAGGATGTGATGATGATGATGATGATGATGATGATGATGATGATGATGATGATGATGATGATGATGATGATGATGATGATGATGATGATGATGATGATGGTGATGATGATGATGATGATGATGATGCTGATGAACATGATGATGATCATGATCATGATCATGATCATGATGATGATGTTGTTGATGATAATGATGCTGATGAACATGATGATGCTGATGATGATGAAGAAGATGATGATGCTGATGATGATGATGCCGATGATGATGATGATGATGATGATGATGATGATGATGATGATGATGATGATGATGATGATGATGCTGATGATGATGATGATGATGATGATGATGATGATGATGATGATGATGATGATGATGATGATGATGATGATGATGATGATGATGATGATGCTGATGATGATGGATGATGATGATGATGATATGATGATGATGATGATGATGATGATGATGATGATGATGATGATGATGATGATGACGATGATGATGATGATGATGTGATGATGATGATGATGATGATGCTGATGATGATGATGATGATGATGATGATGATGATGTGATGATGATGAGATGATGATGATGATGATGATGATTGATGATGATGATGATGAATGATTGATGATGATGATGATGAGGAGGAGGAGGAGGAGGTGGAGGAGGAGGAGGAGGCGAAGGAGGAAGATGATGAGGAGGAGCAGGAGGAGGAGGAAGGAGGAGGGGAGGAGGAGGAGGAGAGTCGAGGAGGAGGAGGTGGAGGAGGAGGAGGAGGAGGAGGAGGAGGGGAGGAGAGGAGGAGGAGGAGGAGGGGAGGGCGGAGGAGGCGGAGGAGGCCGAGGAGGCCGAGGAAGCGAAGGAGGAGGAGGCGGAGACGGAGGCGGAGGAGGAGGCGGAGGAGGAGGCTGAAGCGGAGACGGAGGCGGAGGAGGAGGAGGCGGAGGAGGAGGCGCTCGCCGTTGCGCCATCACCACCAAGGGGCAAGCCCCGAGGTGGTGGTCCAGGGCCCGGCCTTGTGGCCGAAGTCGCCCGCCACGTTGAACTGGCCGACGTATGTGGGCGGGGCGGGATGACCAACGACGCCGCCGCCGAGAACCGCCGCGCACCACAACGGGCGGCAGGGAGGAGAAGGGGAATGGGAAGCGCGGCTACCCAGGCGCCACCGCGATCCCAACCCGCCACCACATCCACGGCGATGCAAAGCAACCTTCGCGCCCGCCAGGGAGAGGCAAACCAAACGACGATCCTCTGGAGGGTATAGTGCGAGGGACTAGGGCGCCCGCACACCGGGACCTGCATAAAAAAAGCCAGGAGGGGGGCAGACGCAAGCTGGGCCACAGCGGCTCGAGGCGGAAGCACCGTCATCTTCGCGCAATTCGGCCGCCGCGCCCTTGACCACAGGGCAGGAGCTCTCCCCCCTCTCCGAGGCACCAGGGGGTCGAAGCTCTGACTAAGATAAGTTCCGCTGGGAGTCCCACCCCCGTTCGCAGGTGCACTGCCTTCAAGAATGCCGCGAACGGCTTGCGTCTGATTCGCCAGGGTGGACTTGGGCCCGGGGGGACCCCTACACTTGACCGTAAGGTCCCGAGTAGAGCCCATCGAACCGTGGGATCCGCAGCGCTTGCACACATACACACCAGCACACACCATCACAGTGTGCCCGAGCTCGGCGAGCGGACGCACTTCAACACCGTCAGGCTCTGCAGGGCTGCCACTCGCCTCCGAGCTCCCGAGGATGTGATCGGCCAGGCCCAACGCGGCCTTCACGTCCTCCTCCCGCGCACGAACAGAATGTGGATCCAACGGGCCCAGCAAACCAAGCCTCGCACGCACGCCTTGGCACGGGCGTGGCCTGGCAGTGCTTGCTACTATGATGCGTGACCATCGCTCGGAGGGAGGCGACCGAGTAGGCCTGCGTCCCACAGAGGCGACATCTCCATTCATCTGCGGCCAGGGTAGCGGGAGCAGGGGGAGAAACGACCCGAAGAGGGCAGGACGGGTTCACCACCGTCCAGGCTCCTTCGGCCAAAAGCTTCTGGGATGCCCAGGCCTGGAAACGGGAAACGCGGCGTACTCCTGTGGTACGTCAGGTCTTCTTGAAACGCCTGCGCAAATCCATCTGGCACCGAATGTGAATCTGCGCCCAGCTTGGCAAACAAAATCAGCCCACAGGTTCCCGGCCCACGTTTTCAAACAACCACCCTGCTCAACAACTTCATCAAAACTGTGGTCGGCTGGGCACCGAGCGATCTGCGGTCTGGTGGGGATTGTTAATTCAAAGATGGATCTCCAGATGGCGGCGTGCTTGACCGTGTCAAGTTCCTGCTCATCGTCCCGCCGATTCCCTTCGCGCGCAAACGCCTGCATGTCCGACGTTAGCACCTGATGACTAGGGTGCGCCTGCTACGCCGGTCGAACAGCCCATCGCCCCGCTCGCAGGGCTCCAGATGAGGCCCTTGCAGGAAGGAGGGCCTCGCTAAGCTGGACGCAAGCCTGGCCAGCCCTGGCGACCTCGGGAATGGAGTTCTGGAGGCAATTGCCAGCAAAGAAACTCCGAGGGCCCCAGAGCCCCGATGGGGCCCTCGAACGGCAAGACAACAGGGCGCTCTTGCCTGGCTTGATTTAGGGCGGATTTAGGTTGAGTCGGTTGAGTGTTTTTGTGTTTTGATGCCGACGACGATTGTAATGGTGGTGGTTATCAAATCGTAGTGCTGATGGTGGTGGCGATGGTGATGGTGATGATGGTGGTGCTCATCACATCCAGAATCACCATCATCACCATCACCATCATCACCATCACAACCGCCCTCACCATACCATCAGCACCATCCCCATCATCATCATCATCATCATCATCATCATCATCATCATCATCATCATCATCATCATCACCATCCATACCATCAGCATGTTCCAGTATGTTAGAGCTCCGTGGGAGCTCTAACATGGCTTGTTAGAGCTCCAACGGAGCTCTAACATAGCATGTTCGAGTATGTTAGAGCTCCCTGGGAGCTCTAACATAGTATGTTAGAGCTCCGTGGGAGCTCTAACATGGTATGTTAGAGCTCCAACGGAGCTCTAACATAGCATGTTCCAGTATATTAGACCTCCCTGGGAGCTCTAACATGGTATGTTGGAGCTCCGTGGGAGCTCTAACATGGCTTGTTAGAGCTCCAACGGTGCTCTAACATAGCATGTTCGAGTATGTTAGAGCTCCGTGGGAGCTCTAACATGGTATGTTAGAGCTCCCATGTTAGCGCTCCCTGGGAGCTCTAACATACCGAGCTCCAACGGAGCTTTAACACATCATGTTAGAGCTCCGTGGAGTCCCTGGAGCTCTACCATGGTATTTTAGAGCCCGGGGAGCTCTAACCTATACGTTAGAGCTCCAACGAGCTAGGAGCTCTAAACATACATGGACTATGGCGGGGGGAGCTCGAAACATCTGGACAGCCTAGTTAGAGCTCCTGGGAGCTCTAAGCATGCTATGTTAGAGCTCCCATGTTAGCGCTCCCTGGGAGCTCTAAAATACCGAGCTCCAACGGAGCTTTAACATAGCATGTTAGAGCTCCGTGGGAGCTTCCTGGGAGCTCTAACATGGTATTAGAGCTCCGTGGGAGCTCTAACATGGCATGTAAGAGCTCCAACGGAGCTCTGAAATAGCATGTTCCAGTATGTTAGAGCTCCCTGGGATCTCTAACATGGTATGTTAGAGCTCCGTGGGAGCTCTAACACGGCTTGTTAGAGCCCCAACGGAGCTCTAACATAGCATGTTCGAGTATGTCAGGAACTCCCTGGGAGCTCGAACATGGTATGTTAGAGCTCCGTGGGAGCTCTAACATGGCATGTTAGAGCTCCAACGGAGCTCTAACATAGCATGTTCCAGTATGTTAGAGCTCCCTGGGAGCTCTAACATGGTATGTTACAGCTCCCATGTTCGAGCTCCCTGGGAGCTCTAAACAACTGAGCTCCAACGGAGCTTTAGCATAGCATGTTAGAGCTCAGTGGGAGCTCCCTGGTGGTAGCTCTAACATAGCATGTTCGAGTGTGTTAGGGCTCCGTGGGAGCTCTAACATGGCTTGTTAGAGCTCAAACGGAGCTTTAACATAGCATGTCCGAGTATGTTAGAGCTTCCAGGGAGCTCTAACATGGTATATTAGAGCTCCCATGTTAGAGCTCCCTGGGAGCTCTAAACTTCCGAGCTCCAACTGAGCTTTAGCATCGCATATTTGAGCTCAGTGGGAGCTCCCTGGGAGGTCTAACATGGTATGTTAGAGCTCCGTGGGAGCTCTAACATGGCTTGTTAGAGCTCCAACGGAGCTCTAACGTAGCATGTTCGAGTATATTAGAGCTCCCTGGGAGCTCTAACATGGTATGTTAGAGCCCCGTGGGAGCTCGCTCTGGGAGCTCTAACATAGCATGTTCCAGTATGTTTAGAGCTCCCTGGTAGCTCTACGCATAGCATGTTCGAGTATGTTAGAAGCTCCGCTGAGGAGGCTCTAACATCTA